GACAGATTCTGAGTGACACACCAGGGTGCCAACCAATTCCGGAGCTTGTGGAATGTTCTAGAGAAGTGCCACCACCATTCGGCTTTTATATATAAGGGAGATGTGTAAACTACAGTGTTCTCTCCTGCTTGAGTTAAAGGGCTATTTATTTATTTAAAACATTTCTATGGCATCTTTTCACCTACTTCAGGGACCCCTGAATTATTAAATAAAGCATAAGATAAACACATAAAGACCTTAAAGTACACAGACAGGGAGGAGGGTTGATAACAGTTGGTAAGGGAAAACTGAACCAAACCAAAAAGTCTTCATCCACTGGCAGAAGACGGTGACACCGGGAGGCAATTAAACCTCCCTGTGGAAGGAATTCCATAATTTTGATGCAATGACCAAGAATTCCCTTTCTCAGGTTGCCACCCATCTAGTCTTAGATAGTGAGGGCACTGAATCACGTCCTCAGAAGATGACTGGAGTGGTCGGTTAGATTCATATGGGAGTAAGCAGCCCTTCAGTCGTACGCTGGCCCCAAGGCCATCAGTACCTGAGCCTTGAATTGTGCCCAGAAACAAACGGGGAGCCAGTGTAGATGGAACAAGACTAAAGTGATATGGTCCCTACAGCTCTCTGCAGTCAGCATTCCAGCTGCAGCATGCTTTATCAACTGTAGTTTCCAGACAGACCATGTTAAGCATATTGCAGACAGGTAATTTCAATATTATCACTGCATGCACCGTAGTGGCAAGATCTTTCCTGCCCAGGAATGGCCACAACTGGCTCACCAGCCAGACCTGATGACAGCTCAAGGGCAGCCCCATGTTAAGCAAATTGCAGACATCTAATTTCAATATTATCAGGGCATGCACCACAGTGGCAAGATCTTTCCTGCCCAGGAATAGCCACAACTGGCTCACCAGCCAGACCTGATGACAGGTGCCCTGGCCATCTTGCCACCTGTTTATCCAACAGGAGCCTGGGGTCTGGCAGCACCCCCAGGATATGAGCCTGCTCCTTTAGGGGAAGTGCAACCTCAATCAGAACAGGAAATATTCTTGGTACCATTTTGCAGCACTTCCATTTTGTCGGGATTAAGTTTCAATTTGCTACCGTAGTACTCATCCATCTGAAAACTGCCTCCAGGTGCATGTTTGCAGTTCCCGCATCCTGCACAGCCTCCCCACGATCTGCTCCCATTTTGTAGCACCTCCATTTTGTCGGAATTAAGTTTCAATTTGCTAGTAGTCATCCATCTGAAAACTGCCTCCAGGTACCTGTTTGCAGTTCCTGCATCCTGCACAGCCTCCCCACGATCTGCTAGAAGTGTGTGATAGAGCTCATCTGCATATTGATAGCAACTCATCCCAAATCTCCAGAAGTCTAGGCTTCTTTTAATTCGCTATGCAACCCATAGTTTATTTGAACTGCTATACACACAATACATAGTAACTTCAATTTAAAAAACATTTCTAGCTTTATGTCTATGAAATGAGGCTTAAGAGTGTACCGCTTTTCCCAGGATATTTCTTACTTGCCCTGCTGAGTGCTACAGCAGCTCAGAACAGGAAATGCTGTTGACTGTGCCCCTGCCAAGTTCACCAATCTGTCTCCCTGTCTCTTGCTTATTTACATTGCCAACCTGATTGCACAACCAATCAAGAGCATTTGCTTAGGGCAATAATGTTTTGGATAAGCATATGTGCAGCAGTGCACATCTGAGCATTGCACCTCAGCATCCTCAATAGCATAGCAATGAATCCTTGGGAACAGATCATATTGAATTTCACACAGCAGCTGCCTGGAATCAAAAGTGTGGGGCTAACCCACAATTTACTCCTATTTGTGATTTGTTTTTATGTCAAGCAACATCTTGATTTGGACTGCTTCATGAGGGCACTCCACGCAAATCCCAGAAGAATTTGGTTGATCAACGTAGGAAACAAAATAGTAGACTAGATAGATCTCTGGTCTGATACTGATGGGATCTTCTTAGCTTCAAAATGTCAAAGTTCAAAGTTTGTTTTTCCATTTCTCTGAGATTTTCTAAAAAATCTCACATAAATTAGGTCCTGCTGCCCCAGTTATTGAAAGATTGTGAATTCTGGTCTAATTGGTAGGAAAAGGACTATCTATCTATCTATCTATCTATCTATCTATCTATCTATCTATCTATCTATCTATCATCTATCTATCTATCTGAAAGAGAGATTACTCAGAACGTATTTAAAGAGATTATTGATTTTTTTTACTATCTTAGCCTTGGTGGCTGTGAAGTGACAGCAACATTATTATTATTTTTCATGTACAGAAGATTGTAATGTGGGCAGCTGTTTCTGAATATTAATTGAATATAACCTAGATAATTGATATACTTTTTCAGGATTTATAGTGTCTATACCTAAAACATCCTTTGTGCTCCTAATGTGAAGCCTGATTTCAGTCATTCAGTCTTTACGTTAGCTTGGGCTGCTGCTGCTGCTGATTTTGTTGTTGTTTTTGTGGCCAGTGGCTAAAATAAATATCTCTGAACTGAATTGAATGTAGGATTAAGTGAAAGAAACCATTTTTATTTTCCAGATTTGTGATGCAATAGAACACCTCCAAGAAGCAGTGAAACTGTGCAAGGATCATATGAATTCCCTTCACCTGCTAGCCCTCCTCTTTTCAGCCCAAAAAAACTATCAGCCTGCTTTGGATGTCATCAACATGGCCCTTTCAGAGTATCCAGAAACCTTTAGGTAAGAAACGTGAAAAATATGTCCGACATTTCAAACATCTAAATCATTCATATATCTAAAGCAGAGGGTAGGTAGCTTTTTTGGCACTGAGAACCAGCAAGCCTTGCTAAGGACATCTGAGGACAGGATCAATTCTTGGTCAACTAAGCCTAATTTTAACATCCAAAGGGGTGTCTGATTGGAGGACCTGACTTCCTCCTCCCATGCCTCACTTCCCTGTGATCCGTTACCAGAGGCAATTTCCGTGTACTGCCGTTCACTTTTAGTGTCAGAACCAGTGGCAAGAACAAGAAGTTTAAGTGACAGACCTTGTTCTCTTGGCAGGTATGATGATAAGTTGGAACACTATTACAAATCAACCCCCAATCCTATTTGTATGTTAATATTTTAATGGGAATACTGATAATATTTATTATTGATAATTTTATTGTTGTTTTAACATATTATTTTAACGCCTTTGTTTTCATTTTGTGAGATGCTTCAAGTAGGTCTCTGCTTTGCTGAGGCTGGATATAAATGTTTGAAAAAAATAGTATTTGCTCCTCAGACTCCCCACCTCCAAAGCTAGTGGCTGGTTGCAGCTGCTGTTCCTGACTGCTGGTTGCAGCTGCTGTATTGTGAGGGCAACAGATATGGACAGGAAGAAAGTCCCTTCACTACTACCCCCAACTCCTTGGACACTGTTTCTAATGCATTAGCATGTCATGTACTCCAGGGCATACCTCACACCATGACGGGAGAAAGGTGGACGAAAGGAGAAACAGGCTTAATACTGTAAGACCACTGGGGCCACTTGGAACATGCACTTAGTACATCCAATGCAAACATACTCTTTCGTGTCCCAGAGGTAGCTTGAAATAACCTCTTCTACAAGTTTTTGGCACAGCTCACTTTGAACCATCATAAAGCTTTCTGTGAAGGGTATGTGCTGATTAGAACCTGTAATATTAGAGTCATACCCCACCTCCATCATTGCTGGAGCAGTCCTGGATCTGTTTTGTAAATATTTTTGATGATGGGAAAAGTGGACAGCTTGCCTGAAGTATGATTGGAAGGGTAAAACTGAGAGCTGATACAGCATTAGGTTTGGTGGAATGTCAGTCTGTAATACAAGTTACAAAGCTGAGGTCACATTGCGGGTGAAGGACCTGCCCTGACCACTGTGAAGAAGTTCTGTCTGTCTTCACCCTCGCTCTCCCAAGGTTAACTGTTGTATAAAGCATATCTTCAGATAGTAAATGAGATGGGTAGGGATAGTAATGGTGTTTTTGAACTGTTGTATAAAATAAAGTGTATTTTCAGATAGTAAACGAGATGGGTAGGGATAGTAATGGTGTTTTGTGTACATGTTTTAATAGTTGTAAGCCTGCCAGGGTATTGAAAGAAGGCAGGACCAGTTTTTTAAAATTAATACAGCACTCTGCATCACCCTAGATATGGCGATGCTTCCTACCAGTTGTGAGGGTATAGAAAAGCCCATGACCCTTACCAAGTAATGTCCGAAGAGACCTTTAGGAGGGTCAGTAAAGGAGTGTACTGAATTTTTTTTCCATCTTGGAATGGATTGGTTATTTGTAGATATATGTATAATGTATTTTACTGCTGTTTTTAATTTTATTTATTTATTGTATTTACCTTTGTTGTAAGCCGCCCTGAGCCCTACTTGTAGGGAAGAGTGGCCTAAATAAATAATTCAATAAATAAGTGGAAGGCTTACTCTACATTGCAGACATATGTAGTATAGCCCAGTTGCTGTTTTCTTTAAGGAACAGCAGCTTTGGGAAGGGGGGAAGTTTGGGGGCAAAAAAACCCAGTGTGGGAGTAGTGTGTCATCTAAATCTTGCCCCTTCAGTAACTTCTGAGCTCCAGATCATTCAGCAACTTCTGTGCTGCAAATCATTCCTCCCCCAAATGGTTCTTCTGCCCATTGGGTTCAAAATGCATGTTTGTGAGGGAAAACATACTTTTTGAGCCATGAGGGTCAGGTGAGTACCTTAGGGAAAGCAATGCAGAGCAAAGAAAATGTGGTCAGGGAAGGGCTAAAGCTAGCATCCCTTCTCTCCCAGGGTATTTCCTCCCATCACAAATGCTACCTTCCCAAATTTCTTTTTTAAGCATTGATTTCAGGGCACTCTTTTGTATATAGTTAGCACTTGAAAGTGGTGGGGAAATGATTTGGCGTCTGGAATAAAGATCAATTGTGGTTTGTCTGGGGAAGAAAAGGCAATATAAATGTGTAAAAATGGAGTAGGGAACAAATGCACAAACAAGAATTAAAGGAAAGGACAAGTTTCAGAAACTAAAGCTGAAAAGTCCACTTCACCCCCAAAACAGAGGCTATGGAAACTTGGGCTGTATTTGTGCTGTATACTGAATAGTATAATTAGACATTAAATCCTGGGCCCTACCTTTGCTGTAAATAAAATATTTCTTCATGTATTTCTCAAACTTGAAGCAAAAAACCATAGCTTGAAATGACTCAGAATGAATTACCTCAACAAAATAAGCAGGTTTGAAGTGGAGATTATGGGGCAGTATTTGAATGTTTCTCAAAATGTGCTTCAGATTTTTTGTGTAATCTGAACTGGGCACCTGGATAGCACATGTAACCTTCCATTATAAAGATGACTCTCACAGAAAGCATTGTCTAAACCTGTGCTGAGAAATAGAGGTTACACCTGGATGACTGGCACATGGAATGCTATTGCCTGGGTGTGTGTGGTGAAACAAAAGAATTAATAATTCATAACCCTGATTAATATTTCATAGTGATAATTCATCAGAGTTCTATTTAGAAAGAACTACAAAGATTTTATGAGGATTTCCACATCTATTTTTTCGAAAGCTAGTCTCATTGTGAGCACCACGTTTTGAGATGGTGCATGGGGCCACTCACACCCTAAATGAAGTCTTCAGAAAGGCATCTTTAATGATCCCCTCAGTATTTGGATGAGGAATTCATTTATTAGCTTTGTTCAGTAGGATAGATTCTGAGTCATAAGCCAGGCGAGGCCTGCATAACCTCAAACCTAACACAGCCCTCCAGTCAGACCCTGTGGCTTGCCAGACTGAGCTTTTTGACAACTTCCCAGCCTTTTCAGAGTGCGGAAAAGAACAAAAGCATGGGGTGCTTTTTTCAGGCTGTTGATTAGCTACCATAAATGGCTGATTGATGGATCCAGGTTTAAGGTGCCATTGTATAGTATAGGGAGGAGGACGGGGAGCCTAGTTGCACTGGTGTTTGTCCCCTTCCTAAAAGAAAAGAAATGGGAAGCTGTGCATCTCCACTAGTGGAGAGACATACAGCCCGGAAGTAACATAATAAAATAAGGTAAAGAAGTATCAGAAAAAGGCTGGGCTTTGTTGCTCTGAAAGATGTAACCCTGCTGGCTGCTTCTTTCAATATAAGAGTAATGTCCTAATTATTAAAAAACATAGTAACTTGTAATCTTGCCACATAGGTTAAGATGATTCAGCAAATGGTGAAAACCATGGACAGAAAATGCCTCCCTCGTAGGGACTTGTCCTGATCAAACACAATTGTGTGCAATAATCCTGTGACCCAACTTTCTCCTAGGGAGAGTACTGGGGTGCTACTCAGAGCCCCTGGCTGACAGAAACAGAATATAATTTCCAAGTGAGACTCCTGTTGGCCATTGGTTTCTCTTAACTCTTTTATAGCATGTGATGTCAGTGAACCGGACTGTGCACCACTTTTGCCTGAGCAACCTGAGCCCTTCTCCCATGTGAGTGTGCATTACAGCCCTGCCTTTAATTACACGAGCACCTGCTACTTCTCAAATATTACAGAACAGCACATTTTTTCCCTTTTACCTATCCACATCACCAGCTCTCTCTGAGCATATTTAAAAATTGTATTTAATTTCTTAATGCCATCACCTATTAATTTTATTAAATGTTCGGTGTACAGCTTTGTATTACTGCACTGTAGTATGGAATGAGTAGACACACAGATGTGTTACAGTAATACCATTCTACACTTTACAGTAAGTCCAAAATGTAGTTGAATATGAATTTTGTCCTGTATACATCGACAATCCTATATAAGTTCCCTGAAACTGATATATATTTCCCTATATTTTAGACAGGCACTATTGAATGTTGACAATCAAATCTAGATGACAATATTATTTAGCAATAGGAGGCATCTAAACACATGCAGTAACTGTACACTATTTGTATTTATTATTTAAAATGTTTATATCTCCTTTTATTTCCTTAGACTCAGTGCAGTTAACAATGCAACAATAAAGTTGGTAGAAAGTGCTGTCAAACTTGCAGCCAAACTTATGGTTTTTTAGCCTCAAGCTCATACATTTCTGTCCTAGCTCAGGAAGGATGGCTCCAGAGCAAACTAATTTATGCAGTAGCCAAATTGCTCACTCACAACTTTAATGCCAGTAGCTCACAAAGTAGAATTTTTGCTCACAAGACTCCACAGGTTAGAGGGAGCATTGAGTGGGAGGTGTGGTTCAGTAAGCATATGCCCCTTTACCACCAGCCTCTGATTTGACCTGCTGACTTTGCCATATTGCTGCTAGAACGGCACCTAAATTGATTTGATCCCCATTATGTTCCAGTCTGTGATCACCTGGGTACTGCCCTAGGTTACTAAATCCTGTCCCTTAATCCAGGGTCAACAGAGCTCTGATGTCCAGGTCCAGAATTTTAACTTTCAAGAGTTGACAACTGCATTCGTTAAACACAGGCTGTGGTCACACACACTACATAATCCACTTTCAATCAACTTTCAATCCACTTTCAAACTGGATTTTTACTATGCCAAAGCAAGCAGATGATGAAATTGACTCCATTGGGCCTCAGCCCAGGCCTAGCAAGACAGAATCAGCCCTTCCTAGGCAGAGGCTGGAAACTGACAGGAACTCTTGCAGGCAACATAATGACATAGCTGGTGACACTTGGACATCACTCCCTGTGCAGCCAGAAGTGATGTCATTATATCACTGGGTTTAACCAGA